GGGGGGGCCGTGGGGGGGGGGGGGGGGGGGGGGGGGGGGGAGGAGGAGCTAGGGTAGACTTCGCATCCGCCGGATCCCCCTTCAAATATCCGCCCCTGGTTGACGTTTTTAACAGACCCGAACCGCATTAATTCTTGGGGAAATAACTCTTGCCAATATTGGTCCAAGTTGGAGAAAACATTGATATTAAGTGATGTTACCTTATAACAACAAGTGAGCAACGTTCTCTTGCCTACTTACACAACGAATATCGCGCCAGGTCAAGGTCACCATATGGTCAGTTTAAGGTCATCGTGGCCCCCCCCCCCCCCCCCCCAAACACACACACACACACACACACACACACACACACACACACACACACACTATTCGCCAACACCAATATAGACATTAAAGGGGTGCAAGCCAACTTACTTTTTGGAGGTCTTTGCAATACATGATTCGTTTTCTTTTTTAACACTTTTGAGGCCTTAACCAGACTAATGATGCATCGGCATACATACGTTGCCCTTTTCGTGTTAGAAAGTTACTAGTAGTTGCATCTGTGTTGGTAAGATACAGTAATATGTCTTGTCTCACATTGCAAATGTGCAAAAGTGTTTTTCCTAATTTAAACTGAACATTTGAAAATTATTTTATGATTGAAATTCTCATAAATTGATACTGTTAGGAATAACGGAAAACGAGGAATAATACGATAAATAAACAAGCAATTACTCTGTGCATAGTAACAGTGCGATCAAATATCATGGTATTTCAGAAGCGATTGGCTGGAAATTCATTAATGAATGATTAGATTTTTTTTTTTTTTTTTTTTTTTTTTGAAACGGAGCTTCCATTCGGATTTTACTAGTACGTGCATTTCTTTCCCAAATGTTTCTGGTAAATAGGCAGGGTAAACTGCTGGTGAGGATGACTCTAAAAAGTCTTGGGATGGGAACACTTATGTGTTTTTGTTGTTTTTTTTTTTTAATATTAAAACATTTAAAAGTACTAAAATGAAAATCTTTGAAAACAGGTGAGTTAACTGCTTTATTATGCTTCTGTGTTGAGCGTGTTGTGCGTGTTGTGCATGCGGGTGTGCACTAGTAAGCAGAGTGAAGTCAAACTATGACACTTAATTACTTGTGCTCATTGCAACATGAGGGAGAGCTTGGACATCAATGAAACTATGTATCCCACAAAGGGAATTGCAGTGTCAGTGAACTTGAATGGAAAATTCATTGGATTAAGAGATGGCAATAGATATGATTTGTGTATATGCCAAAATTCCTCCAATACTGTTTCATGAAAAATGTCTTATTTATTTGTTGTTTGTTAATTTGCTTGTTTGATCTTATGTGCTTTTATAACATTACAGCATTTAGTGGTTGAAACATGCTGCAGTATTCAGTGCTGAATCCTGTGCCATGATGACGATGAGCAGCAGTTGACACTTTGCCGTAATTAACCCAGGAAACTTTGCCCTCATTTTACTGACACTGGTTGATGCAGCTCCCCAGGATGGGCTGTGTTAATTCCAAGGAGAACAGGGATGCCAGCAATCCTAAATCCAGTAGCAATGCCGAAAAAGATTTTAAATTCATGTCAACGGAACAGCTGGCAGAGGAGTTGAAAACAGCTGTTGACAGAGGTAAGTATATGGATAGGTATTGGTCACAATTTTTTTTTTTTTTTTTTTGCGAAAAAAAAAAAACAGTTTTAATGAGATTGTGTTTTATTACTTTGTGAAAAAGGTGGCCTGCCTCTGATATTATGTTGTTGCTTTAGATTACTAATTTCCATTTTAATGTTAGGCTGTGAATGAAAATCAGATTTGCTCCACAATTTGTACGTCTGGTTCAAGAGAACATGACTGCTTTAATGTAGTAATGGGCACAGTTTAATGTTGTATTTCTCCTTAAATCTTTTAGATATTTATTTCACCAAGATTTGTGTGGTATAGACACGGTGAATAATAAGATTACTTTAATTATAAAAAATCCCTGTTCAAAAATGTGATGCAGAATATGAGAGAATTTTTTTCAATAAGCCTATGATCTGGGATACCTCAATCAGAAAATGTTTTAACGTGTTGGGTTTTTTTTTTCTTTCGTAGGAGAAGGCAAAACAGCAGTGAGTATCATCTGTGCCTGTAAAGAAACACCAGTTGCATTGAATGAAGCATTCAAAGAGAAATACCAGCAGAGCATTCCAGAAGCATGTGCCCACAAACTCCAAGACCCTGTGAAATTTGGACTCGCTTTACTATTTGAGGAACCAGTCAAGGCCAGTGTAGTTTACCTGAAAGAATGCATGGAACACAGGGATTTGGAAAGTCTGTGTGAGATGGCGAGCTGTGATGAGGAAGATGTGGAGGGTTTGAGTGCTGAGTTTACAAAACAGTGTGAAGGACAAACCCTGGCTGATGCATTACAAAATGGAAACTTTGGAGATAAAGATACTGTTGAAGCTTTAAACTCACTGATAGAGGTACATGAGCCAAAGTAGTATCATGTAATAGTAAAAGTCTGAAACATTTCTTGGAGTGGACCACTTCCCAGATAGCAAGCATACGTTGGGCCAACGTAGGGGAATCGTTGGTTTGTTGGCACATGGTTGGCGTTGGTAGTAATATGTTGGCCCAACGTTGGCCCAACCACATCATAATATGCACAACATAACTGCAATATGCTCACGTTGGCCCAACGTTGGGCCAACGTGTGCATATTTGTTTCNCCATAGAAACTCCAGCTTAAAATAAAAAATAGGGCAGATTTTTACTTTTTTTTTTTTTGCAGTTCATTGTTTTTAAATTGGGGCATAAAGTGTCATGCAAATTATTTAAAATGTTGCTAATAATTTCCAAACATTGCCTCATTCAGTCAATTTGCTTTTCAAACTTTGACAGTCAGGTTGTGATTGAGTGATTACCAAGAGAAAAAAAGATAACGTTTTTGTCTTAAACAACTGCACACTTTCTGTTTAAAAAAATCATCATCAACTCTAAACATTAGTTATATAAAAAAAGTCACATTATACTAGTAGATCTGTACTGCAGCATGATATTGAATTTTTTCTGTTTCATATACTATTAACATGTACTTTGAAGATGAGCGAAAATAATGATGATTTCTTTTCTCAGTTTCAGAGTAGCATGGAATCCACTGAGTGCGTGGAAACTGAAACTGTCATATCAGCTGTAGAAAGTGGGAATCTCTTTCATGGAGACAATGTCTTCTTTAAATTATTATCTAACAGTACCAGGAAACACACCAAAGAGGTCTTTGAGTCTTACTTAAAGGTGAGATTTTTTTAATACTCAGCATATCGATTTGTTTTTGTAGAGAATAAAGCTAAGATTGAGAAGAATTTCGGGTAAATTTTGCTGCAAAATGCCCCAAGTGTCATTTTTTTTTTCAAATTTATTAAAGTAAAGAGATGAAGAGCTAGGTTTCCATCAATTTCCATTTGAGTCGATTTGACAGAAATAATTGTTACAACTTACAAAAGTGTTGAGGAATTATTTTCATTAGACAATGAAAAAAATACATTTATTACATATTTTTCATATGGCAGAGATGTCAGAGAGACATAACAGTTGAGATAGAGAAGCATTACTGTGATACAAACCAAAGTGAGGCAAGGAAAAACATGTCTGTAATAGGTAAGGGGTGGTCCTCTAGGTTTTAATTACAGTATTGGAACTCTTATTCCAAACATCTTCCTTGAAATGAAAACATAATGTTGAAGTATCTGTAAAGGATATTGTATTTGAATTTTTAAACAGTGTAAAATTAGTAAAAATATCCATGGCACGCCATAACTTTTGTATATCATATGTCAGATATATACTTTGTCTTTTTTTTGTCAGTATAGACTATGGTCAATTATTATTATTAGTTATAATAGTTATAATAAACTAAAGCCTTTCTTGTGAAATTCAGAAGTCCTGTTTAGATGGAAAAAGCAATTTACATGGCTACATATATATTGTAATTAAGTTACAGATGCTGATTTTCAGATTGCCTATAATAAAAGTGTGTAACATACAACAACGTGACAATATGTTGGGAGAGGATTTAGATTCATAAGATTATTTTTAAAGATACATTTTGTACCTGGCAAATACTAAATTTTTACTTGACTGTCTCTAATTTTACTTCAGCTCAAGTGATCCGGACTGCTCCATTGTACTTTGCCCAGACACTCCAGCGACTGCTCCCTTCCCAGGAGGTCCACAGCATTAACAGAGCTCTGTACATCATAGTCTGGTCTCATCATAAGGTATTCTTTATCTCATTTATTCCTTAGAGGCTCTTTAAACTGATGAATATGTTATAATATTTTTTGTACAGTCAGTGATATTGCTATTGTTATTTTACAATTGAAAATAAGTTTGAAAATTTTCCCTCTACTTAAAACAATTTGCCCTTGGATATAATTTATTCAGAATCAGTAAAATCGGTGTTTTGCATAACCATTTTATACATAGAGAAAAATGAATTTAATCTAGAAGGTGACAGTTCAATAATTTTATTACATCGTATACATCAGGGCATACTGTCCTCTTTGATGGAGAACTATGAAAGCACACACTTCACTCAGCTTATGATGGACTTGCGTACTCAGTGTAAGAACGAGGAGGCAAGACAGCTGATGGTGAACATACTACAGAGACACAGGGCAGGACTACTGAACTAGGCCATGGCTGACCAGCTTCTTTATCTTCAAATAACCATACATGAACACTTTTCGTGTCTAAACAGGGCAAAGTTACATGATCACAAATTTTGATCTTTACTGATTGGTCAAGATACAGTCATGTGGGGTCAGTTATTTCAGTGAGATGACCTCATAGTCAACTCTGCCATATTGGACCTCGATGGCCACTGCATGAGCTAGGTACATCATCACAAGTTCTCACTGTGTCTTAATTATTTTCATTTATCTTTTAAATTCATGAACATATGTAACAAAGCAGTTTTGGACTTTGTTTCGGTCACCTCTTGGCTAGGTTCTATCCAAAGCTGGGATAAGCTTCAGGTTGAACCTAGCCAAGGGGCGACCAAAATGTTCAGTAAATAATTGTATAAATTTTAATTAGCCAATGACAAATATTAGAGGAGTCTGTTGAATTTGACACCTCCCGTATACTGAACCATGAATCCTGGGAAAGCTGTCAGTTAACTGGCTTAGTTGACTAGGATTTCCATGAGAGTGTCATTTCACTGGATAAGATGTGACCATGTAACTACAGAGCTTAGAAACAGTTCTGAGAATTGTGATAAATAATGCAAGTGCAGAGGTCTGTTGTGGTCTTCCTTATCCAAGCACTTGCTTGTTTGCAAAAGCAACAAATCAAAATGTTTTACAGGACTTTCTAGTGATATTTATCAATATTTTTTACTCCTTTTCTTTCATGTCAGTTTTTGTTTTTATATTTGATATGTATACATTTGTGAAGTTTTATTATATATTGGTAGGATATTTATCTTTGTTATATAACATTTGACTGTTTAGTTTCTGAATAATTTCTTGACTTCTATAAGTGTAATTTTTAATTGAAATTAACATTTTTGAACATGATAATGCAATTTAAAGAGAAAATTATAAGGATAAACATAATTTTAAAAATATCAGTAGTTGTACAATCTTGTAGCTGCTCGAATAAAGTGACAAGATGATACTTTCATTGCCTCCATTTCTAAAACCAGACACGAGCGTTTTTTTTTTTTTTTTTTCTGACCAAATTGAGCTGCACAAAACAAATGATCTGCTGGGGGTATGATTGCCACCATAGTTAACGATCTCAGAATCCAGCAATTCTGCAGATAAATGCGGTCTGTAAAACAGATTGGAAGTGAAGTACCAAATTAACATCACCGCAGATAATCATTGACAAAGTAAGCCCATATTAGAGTATAATTATTTATTAACTTTTTGTCTTTAAAAAATGTCTTACTACATACAAAACAAATTCGAAGTCTTCTCTTCAAATTGTTACAGTAACTATCAAACTTGCATTATATTTCATAATATTTTTACGAAGAGAATGAAATGAACTATTCTCTGATATTTCTTTTTTCTTTGTTGTGTATAGTGAACAACTAAAAACAACATCTGTTATATCTGATCGATAAATGAGGTTACTCAAAGATCAATTTACAAAAAAAAAAAAGAAATAATTTTAAACTATCCAGACCACTGCTCCTGTGTCTCATCCCCAATAAATGAAAGAAAATGGGGGGTAATTCGGCAATAATGAGAGCACTACTCTTCTGGGTATCAGTCTTTTAAAGTTGTATGGATTGAGATACACAGTACGCAGGTGGAGCAAAGTCACAAATCACAATGCAATGATAGTGATCCTGGCAAATGAAAGTGAACTCCAGTGGTTCTCATTGTCTATTCAGTTGGATGGAAACTATACTAAAACTAGCCTGAAACTGTTATTAAAATCGTCCTGATCTTTCTCTTGATCTACGGCGGTCCCGCCCACGACTTCCACTCCTACTTCTGTCTCTGTGTCTGTCACGATCTCGACTACGACTGCGCCTGTCCCCACGACCCCCTGGTGAGCGCGACCTTGAACGGGAGGACTGGTCAAAAGGAAGAGACCTGAAATAAAAAATAAAAGCATATAAGCCTATAAATCCAATCTTGTTGTCATAAGTATTAGTAACTAGTCACACTACAGATAACATTCAGTAGAAGACTTACAAGCTATTCTTTACCAAAAGCTAGAGAAAAGCATTTCAAGCAATGTTTGACCTAAACAATTACCAAGTTACACATCATTTTAGATCATTCTTTGTAAGAAAAGTCTTCCTATCTAAATATTTGCAATTTTTTTCAGGAGATTGACCTTATGAGAATAAAAATAGTACATACTTTGCTGAACAAATCTTCTCCACCTCTCTGTTTCTACGCCGCCGCCTCCCGTACAGTTTCCGTCTCAACTCCCTAGAGATTGGTTTCAAATGCATGAAATTGCAGAAGCCCCCTCTAGTGCACTCCCTGAAATGTGTGAAATCTGTTGATTATTCCAGGCCATTAAATTTCTTGTGGACATAGCTGACCAATGTCAAAAGTCATCAAAAATTTATGCTTTGGATTTTAGGGCAACTTTTTTTGTCATTATCACTCGTCTACCTTTTCATCTACATTATCTTTGTCTTTTCTCTAAAAATATTTCTCCTCAGTATGCGTAAGAATAATCACCTAATAAAATGGAAAACGGAAATTAGAGAGGAAAGGAAAGAGAAAAATAAAAACTGGATATGAAGCTCACTCACCCCATTTCATACTGTCTACAGCAAGCTTCACGGAAGTCTGTGACTGGTGAGAGTTCAGCTCGGACAGGCTGACCATTGAACCAGCGATTGTTCAGGTCTGCCACTGCTTTCTCTGCATCTTCTTCACGACGAAACTAGAAAAATACAAGAAACAAATGCAAGTTTCCATAGGAATCTTGAATCAAGTTTATGTCATCGAAATGAATGAGAGAATTTTAATTCTGAGGGCACCTTACTAGTATACAATATTTCTTTCTAAAAACTCGAACCTTTTTTTACCAAAATTCACCCAATAGACAAAAACAAATGTACTACCACAATTTAACCATAACTGATTATTTTCGTATTTTTAGAATAAAGTGACATTTGTGAAGTTGTCACAATAAGCCCATGACCCACCTTGACATAGACATTGCCTACTAAGTGGTCCCCTAGGTTGTCACATACATTCATTTCCTCAATTTCACCATACTGAAAGGTATCAAAAACATACTCTTTAAGCAAAACCCCAGCTACAAGTTCATGTAAAATAGTGGCAAAATAACTTTTCTGCCTATTGGAATCCTGTCAAAATCCAGTTCTACTGCTAAGTACAATGCAGCAATCACTGTGGTAGAAATCTAACTTGTTTTTATCAAAACAACAAACACTTGTAGGGTTTTTTTTTTTTTCCTCACCATATTGTACACAACGGATAATTTTAAAATTTTCCAACTCCTAAATCGAACTTAAAACAACAGTCTTATTTTACAAAAGAAAATGTTAAATGCTCAAGAAATTTTCAAGTTCTCGGCATTTATAAAATCCTTATATCATACCTTATCCTCGACCTCTGTGAATACTTCATTAAAGAACTCATCGTAGTGTTCCTGTACTTCAACATCTGTGATACTGGCTGAAATGAATCAAGACAACCAGTAAGTCCAAGGAAAGGCAGGAATCTGGATACTTTCAATGTTCATATCAGACTCATTACTCACTTGGTGTAAATGTACAGATGTTTACTTGCTTACAGTCCAGATTAAATTGTTTATTTTGCAGAATCATCCACATCTTCTACCGTGTGAAAGAATTTTGTATCTGCTTACAGATTCACTACTCAATAAACTGAGCAAAGTATTGAGAATTAAAAGCCCAGATTGGTTCTTAAGTCTACACACTACTTACTATGTGAGCCATCAGCAGTCTGTGCTGTATTCTGTGGGTTATGATACAAATTCACCAGCAGGATTGTCTGATAAAAGAAAGGAAAACATGGCACCCATTAACTGACAATCACACAATCAATGCCATAAATACTGGTTGAACACGAGTCCTGTTGTTTAAAAAAATATAATTCTTTCATATATGCACCCGGGGATTCATTGGTCAAATCTACAAAGCAAGGCTCAAACCACTCTTCATATTTTTCAGAAGTATCTGCATTCAAGGCACGACAATATTGGCTGTTGGGTCTAAGAACACCCTGCTAATGCACTTTTGGGGCCGGACATTCCCAGGTTTCATTGGTCAGATCTACAATATAAGGCTCACACAACTCTGACCAAAATGCAGTATCCACATTCAGAGCACGGGAAAGTCAAATTCAAGACCAGGCACATGGATAGAGCAACCCAGTGATCTTAATATTGTTGGTGCACTTTCTTTTTCAAAATGTTTACTTAAATTGGCATTTTTTTTTTTTCAAATATTTTTTTCAAAGATCAAACCAAAAGGGAAATAAAAAAGAGCAATATCTGAACGAAATCTCAATGTATCCAAGAAAAATTTTAATTTCAGAGGTTTTAATGTGAAAAAAAAATTATAATAATAAATAAAATAAAGAAAAGATCAATGAATAACAAATAAAAAATCCTGTATAATTCATAAGGTTGACAGGGGAGAGGTCATTCTTCCCATACTGATCCATGTTCATGGCCTTCTCTTTGAGCAAGTCTGCATATGGACACTGCTTTTGAGGAGAGTATCTGCACAAGTACCTGTTGAAACAGAGAATACAGAACAAAGAGAGTTTGAGCTTCAAAGTTTGAACCTGGGGGACACTGCTGCTTCGTCTTTGTGACGTGAGGTGACAGGTTAACTTACAATACGGACCTGTGTCTGTATAAATAGAATGAATGGAAAAAGAAATTCTACAAAAAAATAACCTGCTTAATTGGTCATCCCGTTCTCATTCTACCAAAATTGTGTTCTGTGGGCTACAAATCAGAAGATTAAAGCTGTCAAAGAAATTATTGCATTAGTTGTCAATTTAACAAACGAAAAAATCAACAGGCATTTGATCCACCCACAATACCTTACTCCTGATTGTAGCAGGCCGCGGAGGACACAAGCGACTCCCTACTTATCAATTATGGTTACCTGGCTAAAAGTTGGCTTGTTATGCAACCGTGAACATCTTTCTCCATGGCGGCATGCGCCAATCTTGAAGTAAAAAGAGCAGTTTACTCTGGAATATAAAGAATACAGTTGTAGGACACTAGCCTGGAAAGTTTTAAACCTTTTTTTATGTAGGGAGTCTACATGTCGTAACCCTGTGCATCGTGTGCACGATCTTGAGTGTGAGTTTACCTGACTGAAGGTTGGCTTGTTGTGTAACCTGGAACACCTTTCGCCGTGCTTGCATGCCCCTATCTTGAAGTAAAACGAGCAGTTTACTCTACAAAATAATATTAAACTTTCAGTGATGATGTAGTCCACAGGACATAACATGTACAAACTGAGCTAAATCAATAACTACAGAAATCGAAAAAGACACTGCTCTTTTTTTTTTTTCTTTTAAAATTCTTAACTTGAGATTACATCTAAACCAGAATTTTAAGACAACAAAAGTTGATATATAGTTTTTAAACATGAAATGTACAACTTTACTGCTTCAAAATCAACATTATTATTTTTTTCCACTAAAATGTGTTTTTGGAGTGCATCTTACCATTTTGGTGACTACCTTTAACATGGAAATTATATTCAAAACAAATTACTTTTATAAGAGGTACTCAAAATGTGAAAGGTTATCAAATTTACTGCTTTATAAATGTCAGACAGGTTCTTCTTAAAAAAAAAAACATTCTTGAATAGAATAAAATCACCCAACTAAATGTTTGCTAATTGATAACCAACAAAACAGCTGTATATCTTTGCCTCATTTTTTGCGATGGAGAAAAAATGTAAGAGCAAAAATGTAAATTTGTTTTGTAACTTCTACTAAAAAGAGAACTACACTTCATGTTGAAAGAATGGACAATGAACACATCTCAGCAAAATCGATAACCGATACATTTTTCATTATTACAAAGCTTAATTATAACAAGTTCAAGGTCCAATACTATCGGGACTTTAAGTCAAACACAAGCGTCTCCTTTTACAAATATGTGAAAATAAAGAAAACAATTAACTCTAACCATTCTGAAACACTCGTTACACTGACATCAAGCAAAATTCCTCATACGAAAACCATGCCTTCTCCTTTGTGACCGACAAGTCGGCACAGGTAAAGGACAATTTCTACCAAAAATAAAGGTATTGCATAAGGCGACTTCTATTGCATTTAATGCTTTAAATTTTAAAGTGTCTATTATCTGTCTCTTTGTCATCCAAGGACACCAAGCATGCCACTTACTTGTCTTTTTCTGTGCCGAAAATGGAAGCAAGGTATTCCGCCATTTTACCAAGCTTCCAATACAAATCTCGCTTTTTCTCGTTGAAATTAATGCCATTATGAAGATTTTAGAAAATTAACTGGAAAATTAAGAAACACTGCAAAAAAATCTAAATCGGATTTTTTTTTGTATTTTGATCTTAAATTATTACATTAAATAAGTTTGCTTATTTTCGTTAAAATAACATGGGTAAGCACAATTCGATGACGTACTTCACACTACACACGGAAGCACAAGGTGGAAGTGTTAGTCAGGCTTCTTAAATTTTACTTATCGATAGTACTGTTCGTAGAAACTATTAAAAGCCACGTTCAATTCTAAGTAGAAGTCCAGTAAGGTAGGATACCTTGTAAGGTTTGTTAAAATAGCTGAGCACTAAGCTGGCTTATTGGTGGAAATCAAATTATACTTCATGAAAGACATTTTTGTGAGACTGATACTGCTGTATTTTTTACTTACTGGGAGTTTCTAATAGTATACTGTCCACGGAAATTTCATGCTGTGTGTATGTTCATTTTATCTTCGTGTTAAGTTGTTAATTAGATGACATTGTTACTCATTGTGTGACAAATCAAGGGTTTATGCATATTAATGCTATTCCATTATCCTAGGGAAATATGGATCTCCAGAAAATGAAGGTAGAGGACAAAGTAGAGCTTTGCAAAAAATACTTCTATGGTAAGACAACAAGACCTGTTCCAAGTCAGAGACTCTCTCTCGAATACAACCATTAAAGTATAGAATGATATTACAGTGGAATATTACTAGTATTTTAAATATTGAATGGGGTCAGAATGAAAGTTTTTAATCAGTTAGGCTGTATTCCGAGAGCTTTTAGATCGATCTATCCCTGCGGGGAGTCTCACTAGATTATTGTCAGATAATCCGGCTTAAATGTCCGTCCCGCCTACTACAAGCTGTAAGGCGGTAATTAACTTTCGTGTCCGCTCGGCTGACAGCTATTTAGCGTGAACCCCCAGGGAGTTAGGTCGATCTAAAATAGATCGATCTAATCTCTGGAAATGGGGTCTTAGACTAAAGAGATAAGCCAGAGAAAATTGCTTATGTTACTTAAATTCATTTTGAAGATGGCAGTCATAATCTATAATATAGATATTAATCATTGGTTAGTAAAACATTCACTTATAAATCTTGATATTTTACATAGATCTCTAATTAAAGACCCTTTTATTTATTTTGTCATGTAAATGTATGTTGTAGACCATGGTATATGAATATAAATTTATGTTATTGTGTTGCAGGTGGTTTTGCACTCCTTCCTTTCCTGTGGGTGGTCAATTTTGTGTGGTTTTTCAAAGAGGCCTTTATCAAACAACACTATGAACAACAGCAACAGATAAGATCATGTAAGCATATTCCTTCTCTCCCCCCCTTCTCCTCTCTCTCTCTCTCTCTCTCTCTCTCACACACACACACACACACACACACAAACACACACACTTCAATACATTTGGACACTCAAATAGCTAACATAGTTACTCAAGTAAATGTCCTCTGTCACTCATGCATATTATTGTCATTATTTTCTTCCTTGTTATTTCAGACGTAATAAAATCATTAATAGGAGCAATAATATGGACAGCTATCTTCATTACCTGGGTGACATTGTTTCAGCTATACAGAGCTAGCTGGGGAGCCACAGCTGACTACATATCATTTATAATACCAAGAGGAATAGCCTAAATATCACCATAAGATGGCTCCATTCATAATATATTGGGTACTTAAATACAACTTTTTGAGAAGTTTCTATACTTCTACTGAGGTGGGTCACACCTACAAGTTTGTACCTAAAACAGCTTTGTGCTGCTGCAAACAAAGGGGCAATGACTCTATCTTGGGGCACAAAACAGAGCTGGTTCTGTTGATCTGACTTAAAAGTTGTCCCATGTACAATTGGCCCTCTGCTGGTGCAGAGGGAAAACCATATGCTGTGAAATAATGAGAACAGCATCTGTAGTATCTAAGCTATGTGTTCAACACTGCAGTATTGGAATGTGGGAAAAGATTAAGGGATGTATACACTGTATATGTGTGCTGCATAAAAAAATACCAAAGGGGCTAAAAGGTTGAATGTGTTTCAGTTCAATGTATTAGTTAACCCCTTCACCGTACATGACATACATGTAGAGTGTTAAAGTTTCTGACACTGAACTGACTTGAACTTTCTTCAAAACTTTGATTTAGAACATGTTATAGTATATTTTATACATGAATATATGTGTTCCAGTGTATGTAATTTTGTCAGTGAATTTTCAATAAACATTAATGATCTTTAGAGAAAATGGCAGTTTTCTGATGAAATAATTAATGTCTCCTTTTTCTGAAGAAATTATCAATGTCACCTGTACTCTATGTTGTAGAGGAAAATGATAATTCCACATTTTTTAAGATCACCCATAGATATGTTACATTCATTTTCTTGAATACCTTGAATATCACACACATACACACTATGGGACTAAACAAACATTTATTATATTACTGTTTTATATGTATATATAAATTATCATGGAGTTATATTAGGCAAAAACCGCCACAGAATCTTAATCTGATTATATATCTTCAATAAATAAAATAGCAGTTAAAAGTTTTATTTACATCCTTGTGCAAGGCAGCTCATCGTGTCTGGCTCAATCGTATTTCATTGTACGCACAAAACAATAACCAAAAAATATTTTGACGAGAAGTGAGTTAAACGAATGGTCAGACTTCACATAAACTTTTTATCACAATTACAAATATAAGTTTCAAGTACAATTTTTTACATAAATATTATGACAGCTCACAGCTGTTTAAACCTATTTGACAAACGTTCCAGCATGTTTTTTTTCTATGTCGAATTAAGTAAAGTCAAAACTGAAATAATATTAACAAAGTATAAATCATCGCTACTAGCATTAACTTATAATGTAGCTTCTTCTTCCATGTTTGTTAGTGTACAGGTTTCTAGACGGCCATACAAACGATTCTCCAGTCTCGGTGCTCGTTCCCATCCGAGAGCCTCGGTACGCCATACTAAAACGTGAAAGAATTTAGAATATAGTACCACAGTGACATCAGCAGGGACTAAAAACAAGAGCCCTTAAGCTTTCTACTTCGATCCCGTGCGGTCTCAATACCTCTATCGACGCTCGTTGACGATCACTTTTAAAAATTATTGTCGAAATTTTATTTATTTTTTTCATTTGAGAACTCCCTGTTCTTATTCTTACATGTTTTTGTCGTTTTTCAAATGATGGATAAAAATTTAAGCTAAGGCTGTTTATGATGACTACGTTATAACCGTACCTCAACCCAACGCTGTCTTGCTCAAACATCTTTTTACGCACGTATCTCGGAACAAGGAAATAGGAAATCTTGGACGGCATCTTTAGCATGGCTAACGGGTTACTGTAGTCTATCATGGAGCGAGTCAACATTTTTCGCGGTCTACCGATCTACAAGAAAAAATGACATAATGATCGTGAAGGTTTAAGATTGAAGGTTTAAGATCAAGTGCCACTTAATACAGAATTCTAACTTATCTTTAACCCGAGTTTTCAAAAAGAACTAGACAACAATATTTCACTTTGAATTTTGAAAGTATATGGGACCCGTGTCGCATATATAATCTGTGGACTCTGATACTACCAACAGAAAAGAAATGTCTTCCCTCTCTGTCACAACTAGACGAGCTTCTTATGTATAGATATTAATATCTTTTAATTTAAAAGTAAAATTGGCTGAAAGAGAGTATAGATCCATTCAAATTACACGTAACAAATGAGCATAGAAAAAATTACACAAAAAAAAAATCACATGAAAAGATTAAAAAAATAAGTAAAGACAAACATACAAATAAATATAAATTTTAAGAAAGAAATCTACCATGCTAGCCCCGACATAATCACTGGTATTTATGTATCTTATCTCCTTAAGATTTTGAACCCTGTCTTCATAGATGTTCCTCGCCACCTCAGGCCCGAAATATGAATACGTATCTTTATGAAGTGACAGGTGACGACAGCGGTTGTCACAGTTTTCACGGTCTGTCGCAGTTGGTATTATCTGCAAAAAATTAATTACAATTAAGCTAAGATAAGTAGTTTTTTTATTTGTTTGGTTTCCAGGGAGTTTCAAAAGCGGTGCACATGCACATCCTGTACCCAATACATAGCCTACGTGTGCTTTTATTGTTTTTCTATATTAACCCTAACTGGTGATCACCTCTGTGAACCTGATATAGACCCATGTATATACTTACCATGAAACAATTCAGACAACATTAAAACTGACTGAAAAAGGTAATCTTGACAAAATTCAATAGTTCAAATATCTTTATCAAGTTATCGTCGAATTTTCCCTTTTTTTTTTTTGCTACCAACGTAAAAATCTGTAGGTTTTTCTAACAAACACCCAAATAGACTTTTAATACGTCGATTTTAATAAATAAATAAATAAATAAATAAATAAATAAATAAATAAATAAATAAATAAATAAATATTGATATATTTTATAAGAGTAAATGATCACGAACATTAGCAATAATTAAAGAACAAATTCAAATATGTGGAAAAGAAAATTCACCTGTGCAGGAGATGGCGGTGGACAATATCGCGTTGGTCTGTAGTTAGCTGGACAAGACATGTAGTCATGCTTGTACGATGTGTAAGGCTTGAAATAGTCATTGCCAAATGTCACACCGCTACTCAGTTGCATAGCTTTCTTATTACTGTGTTTGGAGGCCATTTCTCTCTTGTCCAAGCAGTTGCAACTATGGAGACATAGGGTGCTATCACCTCTATCATGACGTCACAGTGGGTTCCAAGGTGACATCAGTTATACGCTTTTAATTGTGACGTCAAATCTGAAAAGCGATATTATTGGTCTTTTTTCATGGTCTCCCCCTTCCCCCTCCCTCTTAACATCAAGCAACATAGTTTAATTTTGGTTTAATGAACATTTAATAAAATTATTGGACCTGACAGCATGTGACGAAAAGAAGGAATAACTTCATATTTTTATTTTTGGAAAATATTCATTGCAATGCCATAAAGTTCTAAATGAAAGAAAGAAAAATCCCCATGAGGGAATGTGACAGTTGAGACAAAAACTGCGTGAGCCATGGGTTGAGACGAGAGGCCCGCATTCCATGCTTTGTTCCTTGTGGTTTCTTTTTGAATCTCAAACTTGAACTTTTATAAATAGCAACGTAAAAATTGATGCATTCTACTCATATCAATCATAAATATAATGGTGTTGCCAATATAAAAGCTATTTACAATGTTTTTTGCTTTTTATGAGTTGGTATTCAAATTAAGGAACTAGTCACATTGTTACTGCTTCTGCCATTTTCAAACAAGTATGCTGCATTTTGTGGGAACTCGTCAATTATATCAATTCGTATGAGCAAACTGCCACAGAGATGTGATATTTGATAAGGTGAGATAAATAGTGGTAATTTCTTTTATAACTGTAATGGCAGTACTTGTAGAAACTTTCAGACATGTTGAAAACATTGCAACGTATGTAGTAACTTTTAAATTTATCTAGTTATCTTGATTTGATCATTGACTGTCAGACTGTAGTGTTTTGAGTATGATGCTAGCATTATGTACAATATACCGTAAATGTGTAGAGTAGTCAAATTTACAGACGTAATCTTTAATTTTTTTTAAATTTTCTTTTATTATAATCGTTTAAAATATGTGCTTGCACAAGAATGAATATTTAAAACATGAAAAGGTGGGGGTCTTCGACATTTGTAAATTTAAATAGAAGTTTAAATAACAAAATGTTAGAAGGTGTGTATTCTTTCTACATGTAATTATCTAATAATCATGATTGACAAAGTACATACATTTTCATGCCATTACATTTGTAATTATATGTTATTTCCATGTACCATAGATTTAATCATAATTTAAATGTAATAAGTACTAGTACTTTATATTTTGTGTGTTTTGAAGGTCTTGTTGAACTGCTGACCAATTGATACAGAGTACTAATGCATCCAGCCTAGATGGCGTTAGTACTTGGCCTGGGAGGTGGTATTTTCACCCTGGGGTTTTTGTGGACTTTGTGCATTATACTCTGCTTAGCCTTGGCAAGAGCTGAGGGACCCCTTGCGTAAGCTTGAACCAATGCATCACCGTGTTTTGTATTTTAACTTCATTTTGTTTAAATTTCGTTTAATTAATAAAATTTCATTTTTATTATACATAAATTTAAAATCTTTGCCATATGAGGATTAAATGTTTGATGTGTGCCAGTAAGTAGTTGACCAAAATTCTGGGGTGGCACTAGCAATTTTCTTTCGTTTAGGCAAATTACTACTTTTTCATCCCTTTTTTTCATCAAATGGTTTAAATTTGACTAAAATAAGTCAAATCAAACTGATTTTGTTTAGCCAAGTTAGTAAGTCAATTTTAGCATTTGGCTAAATTGGCAAGTGTTAGCACTACCCCAGTCTGGGGTAGCACTAGCATTTTTTGCTTAGCCAAATCATCAATGTTTGGCCAATTTGTTATCCAAATGGTGTTAATTTGACTAAAACGAGTCAAATCAAGCCCTTTTGTTTAGCCAATTTAAGTCAGTTTTAGCATTTGGCTAAATTGGTGAGTGTTAGCGCTACCCCAGCCAGTATATCTTTATCATATGTTTTGATTTGTCCCTGAAGGTTTGGAGCAGCTGGTGTTATACTGCTAGCCATCATTATCACCATCATATTGATATTTCTACCTCTGACAACACCTGAGGATGTACGAGCTGATATCAAGGTAAATATTGGTATCAGAGAATGTTTTTCCTTTGGATCTGTTAAAAGTTACAGGGAAGAATAGTAATGAAAATTGGATTTCATTCCTTTTCAAGTCTTAATGTCATCAAGATTAAAAAAAAAAATGAATCTCATTTTATATTTTTCACTATAACTATGGTGTGTTTGACAAGATTTTGTTGAAGAATAAGAGCTGGATCTATTGAACAAATCCATTGGTCTGTTAAAATTGGTTTATTTAAGTGAGGCTCAGTGGTTTGTCTCTGTAATTTAAAGGGATAACTCTTCGTATGAGATCTATATTTCACAATAAAAACATTGTGAATAACTCATAGAAATATAATATATTCTGTTTTACGACAAAAACAGCAGTTATAGCTATTATTCAGATATCTGAACTTGTCTTCAGATCACATGATGATGACCTCCATTGATAGCTATACTCTGTTATAATCTCTTAAGAGATTTTAACAAAAAACCAAACTTTTTAGAAAAAAACCAGGGACTAACTTTGAATGCAAAAATGGATTCATTAACCATTGGTAAGGATGGGAAAATTGTTGTTTACTCCAGGAAAATTCATTTTTAGGCCAAAACGAAGAGTTATTATCCCTTTAAACAGTTTGAAAATGGTGTTATTTGCCTCGCCTTGCTGTTACGCAACAGAAAAATGAAATTTTTTAATCAAACACTGTTGTTAAAAAGTGTCTTGTATTGCCAGTAGCCTTAGTGATAAGTTGCGATCATTATATCTGAATTCTGAAATGCAATTCAATAAAATTATGTACTGGGAGATTTCTATAGACAGATGCCTGGTCTGAAGTGTTACATGATTATCAGATTATCAGCTTGAATTATACTATCCTGTATGTGCCACAGTATTGTGTGCTTCTTAACATGTACTTGTGTTGATTTTAACATCCTAATTGCTTTGATTAATTATTAAATGGCAATATTGTGCATATTTTGTGATAAATTAACTCAGTTGTGCATGTCACATATTGTGTATACATAAGGCGCCATCTGTGTGCAATAGCGGATTTAGGATGGGTGTCAGGGGGGTCCTGAACCCCCACTTGGTGTCTTGAAAAAAATCGCACCAATATTCCCCTCTTGGTATAAGGATTTTGAAGAGCTGAGTTATAGTTCTAAAGTGCACTAAATGGCACTGATTGCCCTTCAAAATACTGAACCCCAAACCAAGGGGGCAAGGTTCGGCATCGCTTCCGAAGCCTGTTGTTCTTAAAAAAAACTGGAACCCTCTTCAAACAATCCAGATCTACCCCTGTATGTGTATATGCTTATATCATGAGAAAAGCAGTTATTTGTTATAGATGGTGCCTTAACTATACACAGATTGTGACATATTTCTCGTAAATTTTTTATTTTTGTAGCTTGCTTCTTTTGCTTTGTCATAATATCATTCTTATCTTTACATTATTATTAATATTTTAGATGTAGAAAAAAATTAATTTGCGCACTTTTCTTTGCCATTGCTAACATGATGTTGTATTCTTTCTTCCTGTCACTTCAGGATGTTGCAAAGGTAAATGTTTTTTTTTTTTTGTTTTTTGTTTTTTTGTTTTTTTTTTCTGGAAGAATCTCTTATATTTCTTCAAGTTAAGCTATAATCTATCCATTGTGGAGAATTTTTTCCCTGTAAATATTTCGTTTTTTTTTTCTTTTTATTTGATTTTAACAACTATAAATATTATTATTTATTTATTTATTTATTTATTTAATTTTTATGTACAGACACAGATGTGTCTGTACATATAGCCATCATCTGCGTCTGTCGTCGCCGTCGCCGTCGTCGCCGTCGTCGCCGTCGCCGTCGCCGTGCACTTTTACCGATAACACGA